GATAGAAAGATAATCTTTAGTTGGTTGCCAACTATTTTATTTAAAAATAAATAAATAAAGTATATCTATTAAGTTCTTAAATTTACTTCGAATTAGCTATATATGGATCACAAAAATATGGATCTAAATAATACTGTCGAGCTTTTTCATCATTATCTTCATCATCACGACTAGAGAAATAAAACGATCTTATAGAGAATATAATTTTTATTCATCATTTTACATACTTAGCAGATAGTGTTGGTATTGTTTGTGCTTTGAATGTAGTACCAAATTGAATATCATTTTCATGTGAAGGTGTTTCAGCATCAGGTCTATTCAAATTTTCATCTTTATTAACTGTAGTTAATTTTGATTGAGTATCAGTTGTTGACAATTGCCGTGGTGGAAAAGAAGCTATAGTTGCTGTTGGTTTTTTAATCACTTGCTCCATTGTATCTGTTATTTCATATTCACTTAAATATGATATTGTAGATATTGCTTGTGATGCTGATGTTGATGTTACATTAGGAACTGTTGTTATAGGGATTTCAGAGCTCATTATATTTTTCATTTGGTTCATAAGTTTTGTTGTAATTGATGTCGTACTTGACGGAACCATAGAATTTTGTATTGGCTGATATGAAACTGTAGGTGATTTTTGTGATAGATTCGTCGTTAGTCCGTTTGTAACAGCAATACTATGATAACCATTCGTTTGTCCATTATGCTCGTGTGAATCTACTGTAAGAAAATAACGTTATTCCAATTTTAGATTTCCACAATAATTTTGGAAGAAACTGAAGAATCTCGATTATTTCTATACCTAAATGCCCATTCATATTCTTTGTTGTTTCTTGTTTGTTTACTATTTCAACTGGAATTGTTGCATCAAGATTTTGACTTGATGATACATTTTGTATTTCTATTGGTAATGAATTTATTTTTTGAAGATTTGTTAATACTGCTAAAAGAAATAAAATTTAATAATATACGCTATATGATCTATTTAATTACCAGACATATTTTTATACATATTTGTATAACTTGTATTATCATTATCTATAAAAAAAATAAACAAAAAATGAACTTCTATGTAATTATCAAATTCTGACTTTGTTGTTGAATAATAGCTAAAAGACTTTGATGAGTTGAATGAAGTAACTGTGATGATTGTTGAATCGTATCTTGATCAAGACATGTGAAACATTCATCAATAGCGTCTTTAAGTTTTCCTTATAAAATTTGAAAAACAAAAGATAACGTTATTGATAAATTATTTATGATAAATTACTTGCAAATTGTTGAATATCATCATAGATTAATTCTGAATCAGGTGCGAAACGAATGAATGTTTGTGTAAGTGATAATAAAATATTAAATGTATCTTGTGGATTACTATGTAACAATATTCGACAATCATCAAGAGCTGGCTGAAGAAAAGTATTCACAGCATAAGCAAATGGATGAATTCTATCATTTTCAAAAAAAAAGAATTATATACAATAAAATTTTTAGATTAAAAATAGATTCTTACTGATGAGCAAGAAATCGAAATAAAAGTAGTTTTGGTCGATCAAAACTACTCGTCGACAATTTATCAGATTTCATGATTGATTTGATTTACTAAGTTAGACAACAAACGAAATGTGTACCTATTATCCCTCTCTTTTTTTACCCATTTTTCAAATCCAATCGTATATTTTCCTAACTAGATTAAACTTTCTTACAATGTGCGACATCTCGATTGTAATAATAAAAAAATTCTCATACTTCTTAAATTGTTTTTAATTTCCACACAAAAAAAAATTTTATTCATAGTTCAACAATTACATGCAATATTTAACCAATATCTGACAAAAAAAATCCATGAATACTAACACAAAAAAATTTACAATTTAAAAGTATTTTATTTTTTTATTATTTAGAAAGGAGTTGGTGACGAAGACGATGCAGGAGGTATAGTCATTGAATTTATTATATCACTTGATGTTATTGGAAGTTGTTGAGCTAGAATATGACCATGATTAATGTTGCTATTTGTTTCAGGTTGAAAAGTTATTGATCGATCGACTGATTGTACCTAAAATAGATTACGAATAATGAACGACTGATTACAGTGTGTCCCGAAATTGATCTTCGTATACGAGGATATAGATCGATGAAATTTCTTTTATGATCGTTTTATTAGTATCTCAATTGGAGACAAGATCTTCGTAAAAAAAAACTTGAAAGATAATACTGTCACTTTAGAGAACTTTGCATGAATTCTTTTTGTAAGAATAATTGATAATAGAATTTAAGGGGAACCGAAACGATGAGCACAAGGATACTTAAGCACACAAGCATCTGAGTGTGGGTGAGGATGCTGGCCCGGAAAAGATTGCATCGAGAGATTCCTGTATCCATGTCGATTCATATTTGCCTTGACTTTCTTTGTTTTCGCCGATATTATGGATGTAAATACTCATATGCTTAAAGTTCCTGTACTCATCGTTCGCTGACCCGGATTTAGCATTAAGAAAAAAAGAATGAATTACTTCTAGTTTGTTTGTATTGGTAGGTTCTATTGGACTAGGTGATAGATTTATTGGCAATGCATTTAATAGAATATTATTACGTTTGATTTTATGTGGACTTTTAACAAGACGAGACATAATTCCTATTCGTGTTGGACTACGTTTTGTCAAATTTGATGAAGATGAATCATTAATGAATAAAACTTTCTGACATGTTCCATTCGTTGTTATTTTCTCACTATGACTAGGACTTGAAGTAGGTGATACTCGTGGTTTACGATTAATCATATTATCACTTGAATATGACGAATTTGTTGTAATAGGTGAAATTAATTCTTCCGAAGTTTTCTAAAAATAAAATATAAATATGTTTAATATTTTTTTTGTTTGGTTTTTACCGTTTCTTTATCTGGTGTTATCAAAGGTTCAGTTTGTTGTTGTGTTAATAAAGGAAATCCACCTGATAACATTGATCGATTCACTTCGATTCGTTCTTGTTGTTTATTCATAATAATAGGTTGTTTTGTTCCATCTACGAACAAATTCTCTTGTGATTGTGTTTGTCGTAATGCTGAATGTGTTATATTATCTACCATAAGATCTGATTGAGTACGATGAATTACATTCGTTTCCGATGATTCGGAATTTGATCGGGGTGTTCTTGGTTGTTGACGACGAAATCTTGCTATAACGATATTTGAATCTTCTGATTCTCCACTATCATTATATGCACGAAGTTTTATTTTATATTCTCCTTCATCACGAATACAATCAATAACAGTTTCAAATTTTCCTGAATCAACACAACCTTTTAAAACTTCATCAATATAAATTCGATAACCAAGAATAGTAAATTGTTCATTTAATGGATTAGGTATCCAATGAAGAAAAAAACTTTTTGTATCACGTTT